GAAGTGTTGTCTCTTGGTTCTCGCCTAATTTCTTATAATTTGAATCTTTGTTATATAACGTTGGATATAGTGAACATTACATGACATGAGCGACGTAATATTTAGTGTGCATTATTTTGTATTTACAGTTTTACCTGCACGTGTGCAGCTACGCACGTGTTGAGTAATAAATTTGGAGATATCAAAAAGATGCCGAGTTGAGTATTGATTATCCCGCACGGAACGTAACGAAGTAATAATATTAATAATATCCGGTACCCATAAATAATCATATGACATATCACAATTAGTACTTTCTATACAAATGAAGCCGAGCCTTAACACAAAAACACATTTTCCCACCAGCATTACCGTCACGTTTTCCGATGTCAATACTCCGTTATAACCTATATATCTATCGCTATATCGATCGAAATATATATCATCGCTATGCCTATATGTATGGGCGTCGCTCCTAAGAAAGTGTTTCTGTCGTCTCGCCGCTCGGTAAATCCAACGAATGCTTCATAAAAACGTAAACAAAATATATCATGTTACACGTTGTAACTTGTACATTGATCATCTATACAGCAAAGACTAACTAATCTATCTCTATTATGGCAATATGATTACCTGAACCGTGTTAAATGTACCCAACTTTGCGAATAGATGAATTCACAACAAATGTAATATAATGCTGATGTGGTTATCGCAGATTTGTTGATCACTGATCTACTCTAGCGCCACCATGCGACGATTAATGTAAACCTTGACGGACACGAGCGCGACGCATGCGCAGAGCATTACCTGCGGAACTTTGTTCATTTTCGACGTCGTTCATTCTTCAGTCAGGATCAGATTTTTGATAGTCTGGATATCTAGAACTTCCTTACTTCTTCAAACCGGTAAGTATCGCTAGTTATATTGCTCATTATTTGCAACCAGTATGCAAATTTCGATGAGAAAATATTGAGATAAAGGGTAGTTTTACGGAGAGAAAATCTTGATTTTCTCTAGACAAAATGGCTCGTAAAAATTCTATGTCCCGACGACATCGTTTTCCAGCGATTTGGCGATTTTCTCCTTAGGTTATTTCTAAACCAGCATAGTTAATTCGCGATTTATCTGGCTAGAATTATTAACGCACCCTTTCTCTAACTTTCTAGTTAATATTGTACACTTCTGTAGTAGAACTATAAAGCAATGTCTATTCGTGTGATGCGTGGTTCACGTGGAAAATCCAGCACTTAGAAATTTTCCAGCCATTTTGTTGACCGTATGTACGTGCGCAAGTGGGCCATCGACCTGTTGTGTGCATTGGCTTGCTTTGTGTAGGCTGCAGCATAGGGAACTCGTGGCGCCTGTGGCAACTGTACGCGGGCTATAGTACTAGAGCTACGCAGACTACTGCTTGCAATGAACCACTATCCTATGCGATATAAATTAATATTATATACATGGTAATGTCATAGTAATGTACATGGTAATGTCAGCTACACGATGTGTAAGATCAAGTATTTGTCAAGTTTAGATGTAAACTATTTTATATTATAATACTTTAATAAGGAAAATTCAGTTATATATTCTTCTTTTTTCAATAGATTATATGGAAGTAAGGCAGTTATATTAATATCCATACTGGTAATGGTAATATGACTGAGTTACACACATATACATGTATTGTCTCTGGATGTCTCAGATATAGGTTATAGGTTATTGTTGCAGGTATAGTGAGTGTAAGACAGCACCACTGTATTACATATTATGGATGGACCAGTCCATCATGGGCCTGTGGCAAACCATACGGGTATTACTAATGGTGGAAGGTGAGAATTGTACACTAAAGTTTATTAAGACATTTTGTAAACCCTGTATATAACGTGAATGTAAGCATTAAATTATATCATGTGCAAATAAATATTATTAAAGTAATTATAGTTTTATTCATTTGTTTATTCATTTCATATCATTCAAATTATTTATTTCTGTTATTATTTTTTGTATATATGTATCATTTACATGGCCTACCCAAGGCCTACCAATTAATTGCCAGATAGATCTAATTGTTCTTCATTACCATACATAGTGATTAGTGCGCAATCAAATGTCATGAATCCAGCTTGAAAAGGTGAATATTATGTCACAGTGAGCATGTACTTGTGAACGGCCACAACAGCTCATCAGATGAGACGAAAAGATCCAAGGAGGGGAGTAGCAGCAAGCATCATGGGTCATCAAAGCATAGTGGCTCCTCGTCATCTCACAACTCAAAGAGCAAGCATGGATCATCCCACAGTGGATCCTCATTGAACCATAGCTCTAAGTCAAAGGAGAGCTCCTCCAGCTCAGGAGTACCAAAGGTAAATTTATCTTTAATGTATGTGCTTTTAGTAGGGTAGGCAATCACATGGAGGAAGAGGCCTGTAAAAAGCTTCTTTTCATTTTCCAATGATTGCCGAAACAGCAGACATACATGACATACATCATACATGTCATTGTCCATTACAGGAGTCTAGCTCATCTTCATCCAAACACCGTGATGACAAGCACAAGCACAGCAGCAGCAGCAGCAAGTCCAAAGACTCAAGGTCAAAGTCAAGTAGCTCCTCAAAACACAAGGAAAGTAGCAGGTCATCTTCATCTAAACCAAAGGATGGCTCCTCCTCTTCCAGTTCTTCAAAACACAAGGACAAACAGTCGAGTGACTCTTCAAAGCACAAAGACAAACACAAGTCTAGCCACAAGGAAAGTGAGAGGAGGTCATCTAGCAGTACTCTCAAGGTAATAAACGACTACATTGAAGCAAAGGTGATACTTGTATCCAAAACTCATTTTCAGACAGAAAATTAGTGGGGTGGGATGCAAATATCATTGACTTTAAAGGCATATTGAGATATTTCATAACACGTAAGCAATGGCAATCGGTTTCTTCATCTGTGCAGTAGAGACAAAAAGTTCTAGGTATAAATCTTTGTGGTACAACGTAGAAGGTCGTTTTAAAAGCATAAATCCTGTATGTAAGTATAGAGGTAGGTAGCCAAATGACATTGACCAACGTAACAGACTTCCCTTATTGACGCTGTGTCAGACACAGTATGGAATTGTAGTTTTAATTATTATATATTATTTTCATTACCTACCTTATTAAACAGAGTGTGTTATGTACTTGTGAAGGATGTGTGGAGAGTGACACTTAGGTTTAGTTAGCATTTATCAGTCAAGGGGAGTACTTTTGAATTCCTTACATATTAAAGAAATAAACAAATAGCTGTAGCTAATTATTTTGTTATGAATAAAGGTCACCTATGTTGGTTGTAAAAAGCTACCATTTCAAACTAAATCTGAATGAAAATAAAAACTTGGTTTCATAAATCGAGTGAGAGACATGACTGTTACCACTTGTGAAAGGGCTTGGGGTCATTTTTGTTGTAAAGCCTTCAACTTTGTTTGGAATTTTTGGTTCAACAGCGGGTGCCATAAATGAAACCAAATAAGTGGCAATATGTGAAGCCAGTCATTACATGAGTCATTATTAAGGTTATCTTGAGAAATGCATCTGCAAATGAAGATCTCTCTTATTAGAGTGCATAAGTGTACTACATGCTGCCGCAACACTACTGTCTTATTTTAGTATGCACTTGGCAATGCCTATAGTTGACCTTGGCTTAGCATGTCATTGAGCTCCAGCGGTAGATAGGTAATTAGATTTTGACACTAACAGCAGTCTGCTCGCTCAGTACGACAGCATTTCTGGGTCAGACAAGTACATTTGCAATACCATTTATTCAACTGGGCAAGTACAGTCTGGAAAGTGGTTTATTCTGACAATAGCTGTAACGTACCGGAACTATTGATGGTTTTCTACTGCTGTCGTGCCGGTAACAGGTTTGGAAACCATGCAATTATGCTGAAATGATATCGTGGTAATTATCATTGATATTGTGGTTATAATTTCAATGTTGCATTAGTCTTGAATACTTAATTTTAGCATAAATAATGGTCTCAGAAATAAGCACAACACCACCTAAAATGTAAATTGTAAGTAATTGAAGCATCACTTTATTTATTTACATGTCGAAGAGTTAGATTAGTAGAAAAAGTACTCACACAAGTCAATTTGTAGTGTAATTGTCAGATGAGTAACTGCTGTGACGAGTAGACCTTCGTGTAATCATGAAAACATTGATTTTACATGTTATACATGTGATCAAGAGCTAATAATACCTAGAGTGTACAACGGAAAAACGGGAAAATAGTGCTATTTCACGACTACATTATTCTACTTTGCCTGCGAGTCTAGAATAATTTCATGGTATTGCATTAAGTAGAATTCCTTGCTCTCTACAACAAGACCAACCGCTTGTCAATACGATACTCCTAGGCTGAGATATCGGCTCCTAAACCTCCCCTCCCACATGCCTTACGCCGCTTTGAATCCACATCATTCAGCAACCTACACGCGTCTAAGCATTGCTTCGTGAAAGTTCGGTTTTTCCGCGATAAATTTATGAATGAACGGTGCTTCGCCTATGCCCTTATCTTCCATTATCTTTCCTAGCACGGCTAATGCCCGTCATGATGGAGCCGGCTCCATCAAGTTTTTACAACGCAGCTCAGTTGCTCAGTGTAGTAAGAGTACCAAATTTGGGCATGTGACATCAATTATCAGCGCTCCAAGCGGTGACGGAAACCGATAGCCAAAATGCTTAGACGCGTGGCGGTTGCTGAATGATGTGGATTCAAAGCGGCGTAAGGCATGTGGGAGGGGAGGTTTAGGAGCCGATATCTCAGCCTAGGAGTATCGTATTGACAAGCGGTTGGTCTTGTTGTAGAGAGCAAGGAATTCTGCTTAATGCAACACCATGAAATTATTCTAGACTCGCAGGCAAAGTAGAATAATGTAGTCGTGAAATAGCACTATTTTCCCGTTTTTCCGTTGTACACTCTAGGTATTATTAGCTCTTGATGTGATGTGTATATATTTGTATATATATGTATATATATATATACATGTATACATACATGCATGCATGCATGCATGCATACATACATACATACATACATACCATCAAGAGTGTATAATAGAGATTATTATCTCTATTATGTACTCTTGATACCATACATGTTTGTGTATACTTCAGGTAGAAAATATCAAACAAGAACCAAAGGACAGTGCATTGGATTTCAAAGTAAAGAGTGAAACCATTACTATAAAAACAAGGTACAGTTATGTTGATAAAACAAATTGATACATACCTATTTGTGATAGGTGGTTGAAATCTGTGGTAAATGTTTACATCCTATTAATACCTAATTGTCTCCTGTCCAGGTTTGTAAGTTTGAGCGAGCCTGTTACTTGTTAAATTGTAGAGGGAAGGAGTAATTATTAAGGGAGTCATGATATTACATTATATGTTGATGCAATGCTATTTATTGTCGTTCTATTGTAATGTGTCATTACCTCCGCCAGGGGCTTGGCGGGGGTTATGTTTTCACCGGCAAGTGTTTGAGTGTTGGTTTGTGTGTTTGTGGGTTTGTTAACATGCATGTTTCAGTTCACTTCCGCTAGGTGCGCTGGCTGTAGACTAACAAACACGCAACCACAGGCTAAGGGGCAACCACAGTCCTCCCCCACCTGCATGCTCGCACTAATCCGGATCCAATTAATTATTTAATTAATTAATTAATTTTTCCACTTAATTAATTAATTAATTAAAAATTTCACATTGAGAGAATTCAGCTGCCTTGGCGGAGGTCTGTGCTCTCCGAGTGCTCTAGTTGTGTATGTTATTGCAATTTTGCTATGTATTCACAGTTATTAGTGAAAATTCATGGAAGTTTTTATCATTATTTTAGTGTAAAGGATGAACCAATTGGTGATGAAGAAATGCCACTAGTAAGTAGGAGTGATTTAGCTTAATTATATGCGGTGAAAGTTGTAGTAGTTGTACATCGATTGATATATCAAATTTACTTAGTAAAATCCAAACAAAATGTTAGCTGGAATAGTAATGCTTGCATGTTAGCATACTAACGGTAACCCAGATTTTCAATGGTATTTATGAGATATGAATTGTTGATTTAGTTAGAACTATTAAATGTTCAATGGTACACGGTTTGTAATATAATTTTTACTAACTTTGTGAATTTTTGCAACTGTTACTACCATGTAGTATAATATAATAAGCATGCAGGCATGAACACACTAATGTGTGCATATTACATAGTATTACGTTACTCTTATTTTATTTTATTAGGTTTCAATTTTGTCTTGCTGTTGGTTCTTGCGAAATTCTATTGTATTGAATTCTCACTTTATGAATAACACTACCTTTTTTTATAGAATGTTTCAACAAACTCAATAAAGAGTGAGCCACCAAAGCGAAAATTTGTTCCCTCCGATGACGAAGATGATGTGCCACTGTCAATGCGTATGGCACACGTTAAAAGGCAGAAAATCTCAGCGTCGCATGCTAAAAGCAAACATGTGGACAGCGATGATGAGGATGACATTCCGTTGGTGTGTGATTCACCTCGGTCTTAGTTTCATAATAAATCATTAATTCTTGTAGGGCCTTTCAGGTCTATAGTGTCTGGTTGTTATCCATTGGCCTTATTGCTGCTTGTTCATTTTTATTTATATTTGATCGTGTAAATTATTATCATTTTTATTTATATTTGATCGTGTAATTTAAATCATAACCTTTGCAAAATGCTGTGTAATACTAACTACCAGTGAAGCATTTTGATGTGTAAAATATTGGCTTGCTCACTTCACTTTAAAGAGTGTACGCACACAGAAGATCAAGAAAGAGAAACACAAAAAAGAGCACGATATCAGTAGCAAAGTTAAGAAGAAAGTTACAAATACTTCGTCTGAATCTGTATCGCCAAAGAAGAAGGTGAAAAAAGAGGAGCCCGAAGATCATGTATGGAAGTGGTATGTCAATGCAGTTTTTTTGGCTCAAGTGTGCTAACTGCAGTGTCTTTAGCTTGACTTATCTCTTGCTTGAACACTGTTACAAAAGCTGGTGACTTGTGACCAGTTGTCATATAATGTGGATGCATGCATCTATGCCACGAAACATGTTGTATTCTCCCATATTGACACAACGTTGAATGTCTCCCTGTGAATTTAAGGTGGGAGGAAGAAAAGAAGGAGGAGGGAGTGAAGTGGCGCTACCTGGAACACAGAGGACCCCTGTTTTCACCCAGCTACGAGCCCCTGCCTAAAAGCGTCCACTTTAAATATGATGGATCCGTGATGAAGTTGCGTCCTGAAACGGAAGAGGTCGCGGGATTCTACGCTCGATTCATCGAGCATGACTATACCACCAAGCCAGCATTCAACCAGAACTTCGTTAAGGACTGGAGAAAGGTGGAACCATTTGTATATCTTATCCTGACACATCTACTAAATGTAACTGATTAAAATTTTTGTGCCTGCATAGTGTGGGTGAGGGCATGTATCCTTGCAGTACTCTTGTATTGTGTTTGCCTCTACGCAAGTATTTGCGTAAACGTCTGGCTGATCCTATCGGTCAGTAATTGTTAGTTGAGACTTGTTACTCATCTGCTGTGTGATTTATGCAGGTAATGTCATCTGAGGAGAGACAGACGATCACAGATCTAAGCAAGTGCAACTTCAGAGAGCTGTTCAATCATTACCAGCAGGTATCGGAAGATCGTAAGAACAGGTCCAAGGAACAGAAGAAGGTAACTGTCTACAAATATGTCTTCTATCTAAGGATGTAGCCTGTCACGTTTTGTAATCGATGTGCTTAGACTAAAAATTTACCATTACTTGTAAAGTGTAGATATTTGAGTACCGTATTTACTTGTGTATAGGTCGCACCCCAAGTACATGAAGTATTGCCTTGAAAATTGGTACAAGATTAATTTAATGAAATACTGAATATGTATTGATATTGAATATTAGTGTCACGTTGAGTAGTCATTGATAATACAAGTCGCCATGTTGCAACACATTTATTAACAAAAGTAAATTATGAACATGGAGCACTAAACTGAAAATGCATTACGTATAACCATATTAAAGATCAATTAAGAATCAAGTGAAATTAATTCACAACGTAAACCAATTGAAATATATCAAATTTTTCTTCATCATTCTTAAATAAGCTCTGGGGCTTTTAGCCCTGTGAATAAGTAGCATCCCAAGTTTTAGCTCGCCTTGACATCGTCAAGATGAGCTATTGTCATGGGGTGTCGTACGTCCGTCCGTCAACATTTGGCTATGGTCAACGATAACTCAAGAACCGTTTGACCCACATGTTTCAAATTGCATATAGTTGTTACTCCTATGGGAGAGGTTTGAATGTCCTATTTTGGAGTACGCCAGTCGACCTACATTCGAGCCACGTCCACTTTTTGGCAAAAATGGAAATGGCCATAAGTCAGTTCAGGTTCAATAGATTTTGCTTATTAATGGTATGTGAATGAATGAGGACTGGCCCCAAAACATATCACACAGGTTTTGATATATTTTTTTTAATTATGCAGATTAGGTAGATTTTGGCAATTTTACTATGCATTTCAGTGTCTGCCTACGGTCAACGATAACTCGAGAACCATTTGACCCACATGTTTCAAATTGCATATAGTTGTTACTCCTATGGGAGAGGTTTGAACATCCTATTTTGGAGCATGCCAGTCGACCTACATTCGAGCCACGTCCACTTTGGCAAAAATGGAAATGGCCATAAGTCAGTTCAGGTTCAATGTATTTTGCTTATTTCTGGTATGTGAATGAATGAGGACTGGCCCCAAAACATATCACACAGGTTTTGATTTTTTTTTAATTATGCAAATTAGGTAGATTTTGGCAATTTTACTACGCATTTCAGTGTCTGCCTACGGTAACGATAACTCAAGAACCGTTTGACCCACATGCTTATTACTCCTATGGGCGAGATGACAATGTCCTATTACGTTTATTTCGTCTAACTGGTCAACAACTCTACAATCATACCTGAAACATTTATTTTCGCATCAAAACTTATGCATATATCATTATCAAGAGTATATAATCGGAGATATGCTATATAATGGGAGTTCTCCCATATATACTCTTGCTTTATATATCCCCCCTCTTTCTTCTATCACCACCTAGGTGAGCTACAGTGTCATTGACACTTTCATTTATATTGAATTTAGGTATAAACAAAGTGCAACTTATACACAAGTAAATATGGTGATTCTTAGGGTTGAGGCAAGCCATGTAGTAATTGTAATCATTTATGTCTGTAGAAATTGAAGGAAGAGAATGAAGCCATCCAGAATGAGTATGGGTTCTGCACGATGGATGGTTACAAGCAGAAGATCGGTAACTTCCGCATCGAGCCACCAGGCTTGTTCCGTGGTCGCGGTGACCACCCAAAGATGGGCATGCTGAAGAAACGCTTAATGCCCGAGGATGTGATGATCAATTGTAGCAAGTGAGTGTTGTCTGTGTAAATGTGTTAGGCCTGCATATATGCTTTTATGTGGGTAAGGAAGTGTGTTCTGGATGCAAACATTCCAAACCTGTTGGGCTGTCTATCTAACCTCTGGCTTGATGGATCCACCTAGTTTTCCTAATTTCCACCAGTCAGAGCAAACCCTCTTATAGCAGGCACCTTTGTTAGACTAGTTTCTCATCTTCTTCCTTCCTAGAAGTGTCTGGGAAATAATATAGACAGTAGGTGGTGAAAGATGTCAGGTTGTAGGTGGCAACGGGAAACCCCCCTTTTTTTCTTAGTGTGACCCAGTTAGTCTTACCTAGTTTTAATTGTATTGTATATGTCTCAGGGATTCTGAATTTCCCAAGCCCCCGCCAGGCCACAAGTGGAAGGAGGTCCGCCATGACAACAGTGTAACCTGGCTGGCGTCATGGACAGAAAACATACAAGGACAAAATAAATATGTGATGTTAAACCCTAGCTCAAAATTAAAGGTGAGAATAGTATGTCATCGTTTGTATATCCAGATCAGATCAAGAACATTTCTTGTTATAAAGCAAGGTCGTGGAAGTTAGGGAGATTCTTAAATTTGATTAAATAAAGATAATATGTTATAGCCATTTAGATGGATGGCATCTACCATTTCGCCCTATTTATTCTGAGTAATGAACCTACACTCTTCAACTTTGAAATGTAGAATCATGTTGAAAAAACTACATACCTAACTTGAATTTAAAAGATCGATGTTAAAATGTGTTATATCATGTATATTTATCATAAATAGAGAGTATGGGAAGGGCTAGTAGCTCTTTTCAATGTGGTTATATTAGTTGACCCGTTTTGCATATGTGTAGGGTGAAAAGGACTGGCAGAAGTATGAAACTGCACGCAAGCTTAAGAACCACGTTGAAAGGATCCGAGCTGTATACAGGGAGGATTGGAAGAGTAAAGAGATGAAAACTAGACAGAGGGCTGTGGCCCTCTACTTTATTGACAAGGTACATGCTATAAGTAATAGGTACAAGTTGCATGACAAGAATGATACTTGTATGTTTTAAAGAAAAATAAAGGCTATGCATATGGTCATTTCCTCTCTGGCACAGCAGATTAAGTGCTGCTTCAAACCACAGGAGATCTTGCCGAGGCATGACCAACATTAAAACAGACTGGCAGCACCAGGTGTGGGCGTAACATAAGCGTGTTGGTCCACGTATGATGCTGTGGACATGTTATATAATCTCCATTTGTCAGAAAGAAACACGCATAGACTGCTGAAGTGGTGATTGCATCATCAACTTGCTGTGGTTTAGCATTTGTGCAGTGACCGAGTGGTGAAGCGAACGAGTGGTCGTCAGATTTATTGTTGATACTTTCGCTCCTGTTTAGTATACGTGCAGGGGCGTAGGTGCAGAGATGCATTGTATTATTACTACACACAATTTGTCTTTATTTACTAATATAATTAATTAAGATATTTAAATTTTGCCTCATTTTCTAAAATTCTGCAAGCCCTTGTGCAATAAATCTTCTGTGAGCTAATGGTTGCTTAGGGCCAGGATCGATGATTAAACTAACGATTCCGTGCTCCCCACTGCAACGTAGCATCAAATTCCTCTGCTCTCCACGCGGTGTGCTGCACGGTTAATCCCGAACACGCCGTGCGAGTAACCATCGTTATCTCTTGCCTCATGTGACAGCTGGCGCTGAGAGCAGGCAACGAGAAGGAGGAGGGCGAGACTGCGGACACGGTCGGCTGCTGCTCGCTGCGCGTCGAGCACATCAAGCTGCACGAAGAGGTCGACGGACAGGAGTGCGTCGTCGAGTTTGACTTCCTCGGCAAGGACTCGATCCGCTACCAGAACCGCGTGCCCGTTGAGAAGCGCGTCTTCAAGAACCTGCAGCGCTTCATGGAGAACAAGCGCAAGGAGGACGACCTGTTCGACCGGCTCAACGTGAGTGTAGCCGGTCGGCTGCGGCCGCGGGAACGTCGAATTTGGCGGGAGTTTGGCGACGATGTAGTCTGGAACTTGACCGGTGTACTTGAGCCACATGAATTTGATGTTTTATTTCTTAGAATATTTGAGGGTGTGTGTAGGATAATACCAACTACTTAAGAATTTTTTCTGTTGGCATTCGTTTCGTAAGTTGCTTTAGAAATCAAATGAACTGCACGAGCGAATGGAAAATAAAAATTAGTTTGTTAACTGGGTATTAGTAGTTTCTGTGTAGTTTTGTGAAAGTAGTCTTGTGTTGCAGACATCGATTCTTAACAAGCATCTTCAGGATCTGATGGAAGGCCTGACTGCTAAGGTTTTCCGTACGTTTAACGCCTCAAAGACTCTACAAGACCAACTAAGTCTCCTGACCAAAGGTAAACCAATATTTACGTGCTACCATCTTTGACCATATTTTTTTGGCTAAGTTTTTTTGTTAAAGTGACAGTGGTGTGGAATAGGAATCGAATTTTAACATTGAAAAGCAGAGTTACATAATTTGTGCAACTGAACATGGGAAAAATTGTACATTATAATATAATTTTTTGTGAATTTTTTTGTTACTTATAAAAAATTACGTTATGAAAAAGAATTAGTTTGCAAAAATTATATTTTATTCGTTTTAGCCGAGGATCCCATCACAGCCAAAATTCTGTCCTATAACAGAGCTAACCGAGCTGTTGCACTTCTATGTAACCACCAGAGGGCAGCGCCAAAGACATTTGGTCAGCAGATGGACAGGCTAACGGAAAAGGTGTGTTCCTTTGGTTATCAGCCATTAACTAAATTTTTAGCACATATGACATAGTCAGATGTAGCTCATGCAAAAGCAATAACATCCAGTGTCAGTATCCAGTTCTTTCTACTATAGTGACATATACATGGAATGCTCATGTTCTGGGTAAATGTACCATACTGAACAAATGGCTCCCTCCACATGTAAAATTTTTTTAGATAATATATGAAAAATTATTTTGGACTGTTTTTCAGTTGAATGTCAACACAGTTTAAAATGTCATGACCTATCCATGTATTATATGTAACATCGCTGTTTTGTGTTAGTATAGACTGTTTGAATAGTAATAAATCATCTTTGCATATTAATCAAGCCAGCTCCACCACTTGACAAGCAATGTCACACTGTGGCCCTTGCCAGTATCTAATGTGACTTTCCTCCATATGGTCCCCGCAGGATTCACATCTTACTAATATGTGTGTGGTATTATTGTGTGTACAGCCAGTTGATCAGTTTCCCATATCATGTGTTTGTACAGAGGTCTATTTTTTAGCAGCATTTTACTACTTTATAAATACGTTTTCTCTATTTTCAAATCAGATCAAAGAAAAGAAACTTGTTATTAAGGCTGCCAAGAAGGATATGAAAGTAGCTAAACACGAGTACAAGGACACTGGCTCACAAGGCAAGGGAAAGTAAGTGTAATACCCTATGTTTATTATATGTTGAACCTAAGCATTAATTATAGAACAGTTATTAATGCTGTAATTTATTATTTATCATCTAAAATAAAATTTATTTATAATAATTGATAAAAGAAAACAATATAATCTCTCACCTATTTGCTAAGTTTACTCTTTTTTCTTGCTGTCACCCTGTATAATTCTATGTGCTGTTTTCTCCACCTATGCTAGTCTCTATGAGAAGAAGAAGAAATCGGTTCAAAGGCTAGAGGAACAGTTGACGAAACTGGAGGTTCAAGCTACTGACAAGGAGGAAAATAAAGAGATTGCTCTTGGAACCTCCAAGCTGAACTATCTTGATCCCAGGATTACTGTAGCATGGTACGTTAAGCTAAAACATAACTAGCATATGCCATTCTCTGCGTATGTGTGTGCATGTGTGTGTGCTTGACTTGTGTGTGGATATGTATTACACCTCACTGTAGACATAACGTAATATAACACTTTTTCAGGTGCAAGAAGTGGGACGTCCCAATAGAGAAGATCTACAATAAGACTCAGCGAGATAAGTTCCGCTGGGCAATTGACATGGCTACTCCCGACTACGAGTTTTAACACAAGTGGTTTTTTTAGGAAAGAAGCGTACCTGTAATTTTATCATGCTGGTATATGTTTAAATGCAGTCATCCACTTTTCGAACTTAAAAACATAACGAGTTATTTGTAGATAGCGTGAACCCCGCTATGGGCGAATACATAATGCCAATGACACAGTATAGAAATGCAGGGTAGTTCATGCATTCTTGTTATGTGCATATTTCCTCTGAAACGTGTTCTTGGTGTGCTTACACAGTGTACTGGGTGATAGGGAAGGTGTTAAATATTTACAATGTATTTTCACAACTGTAACTATTAATTATAGTTCATGAGTGACTCGCTTCATAAAGTAGAAAGATAGCAATTGAACCTGGGTCCAAAAATCAAATAAGGCACATATTTTGGAATCGTTCAAATACTTGAAATGCAATGGTGCAACTAACAACGTTTCTGTACTTCGGCATACTGATAAGAATTATCCTTTATTGTTAGTTGGTCATTATCGACAGTTGATGCAGAAGATGACGCCTGATAACGACTACTGCTATCAGCATGTCATCATCCCGGTTTATATGCATATGACAGAACTTGTATATGAATAGTCCATACTATTGTGTTGTGAATGTATCTCTCAGTATTGTTTGATGTTTTGGTGTTGCCTAATGTGCATGTATGCATTACCTTTCCATACCTTTACCATATCACTCTATACGAGGACTACAAGATAGTGTTTTGTGTTTGCATGACCTATTTAATCGATTCAGCTGATATGTTCAGACATTTAACAGTATGAGATCATTGTTCTTATGATTAGGAATGTTTAGGGCAGTGCTAAGTGCATTTCAAGGTCGAAACAAGGCCTTTGTAAAGCATGAGCACATGATAGCAGGTGATGCTACTACTGTTCTTCACATCTGTATACTTTTCGGACGAAGCTTTCATCATCTCTGCACATAAGATTGTAACATGCCAGTCTCGTCATATGTTAAATTTTTGTAATTTCTCATACTGTTCTTGTAAACTTTCAAACCTAATTGGGACCTTTCGGCAGATGTGATTAAACTGCGAGCCGTCAGTTCAGGTGTTTATCATTACAGTGTACGTAATATATTTGTATAGCTGTGTATAGTAGCTACTTTTACCTTGATCTTTCATGTTTGCATTTCTTTGCATTCTTTTTATGAACTACAGTGGTCGCGTAGTGCACTGATTTCAGACGTCAATTCATTTGCTCCAATGAAAACTAATATTACTCTTAAGCACTCCTTCTCTCATCACAGGACCATACGTGGTTGGCTGACTGCCTTCCAAGCACCACTTTAATAGGATTTTGTATAGGGTGTATGCATATGTACTATAATATTTTATCATGAATTTTAGGTGAGGGTTCTGTTGAAAGCATTCAGCGTATGTGTGAGAAGTAAGGATTACACTATTGAAGTGCATTCCTGAACTGTTTGTTATTGGAAAGTTGCAATTTTAAACTTAGAATAATTTTATTTATTGCAGTTAAGTGTGGCAATGCGCGTATGGGGTGATCACACCCTCATCTGGTCGTCACATTCCCCCACCGTAAAATGAACTAAGCCGTGCTTTAATCGCATCTAGGTATCCTAATAAAATAACTGCTATATCTTATACATATATAAAGTACAGTTTACTAACTATAGTAGTCTTGACTTGTGTCTAACATTAGTTTGCTCTGCTTTTAACTTGAAATTTGTTAGTATGCAGTATAGTGCTATAGTAACCAATGGCCAAAGCAGCTCTACCACAAGTCATTACTGTGCAAGCTGTATCATTTGGGTTCAACTGAATTTCATTTGCATCATTCCTGTAAATCAATTGTAAAAGGCACATTGCATGGTGCATGTATTAAAATTTTGCAGCTTTATATCCTTATCAGAATTGGATATGTTTCACGTACCATGAAAATTTCAGCAATGACAATTAATCTAGTGACTTAAAAAATCTTTTTTTACGGTTCAAGATATTACATCTACATAACAATTGTATCATTTGTAAACCCAGCTGTCACAATAAATACGCCAGTTGTGTACGTCAGCTAATTTTTCTTTTATTTTGAACCCATAAGTGTACTAATTCGACTAGTATTATGAATGATGAAGTTGTACTTGGTTTGCAAAATATAAAGAAAAGTTAATGGAATAATTACATCAAACTTTATTGAATCTTGAACGGTAGGTAACATGTCTTTTGTGTCTGTATATTAAATGTCCAGAACATTGCCAACTATTATACAAAAATTGCCCGAAATTCACATACATGTATTACATGTAATAGTAACATGTGCCTCAACTCACATTTACACATACTGCACAATAACATTATTACACCTGAGGTAAAATAAACGCAATTCGATTATTACAGTGTTGGCAATAATTATACCTCAAAATATAATCTAGCAAATGAAATAATTGCTAAACGTTATCATATAAAAAGCTTTATACTACTATAGATAACAGTGATTATTTACATATAACGGTAGAACAAAGTCCAAGGCCAAAAGTTGTTCCAAGAAACAAAAATGTGTATTTTTACACAAAGCTTGTAATGAGCAGGTACTCAAATTTCAAGTTATATTTTGCCAGCGTGTTTGCCATGCAAATGAGGCACTGACATCTATTACACGAGAAATTATATTAAAAATTTTAGTTCCTTGTTTTCAACAAAATTATAAATGAACTATGAGCTGGTCAGTACTTAACATACTTGACAAAGTACCCCTCAATCACCACATAGGGGATCAATTTCCTTGTTTTTCTTTTCGGTTGTAACAGGAAATAATTAGAGAGCATAGTACACTCACTCTTCTGTACCAATTTACCCTCCAAGCGAGCAAGAGAAGGTACACCTGTCATTGCTGCATTCACAGCAGTCTGTATGCATATCCCAACTGGAACAGGAATGAATCCTACATGCCCATACTAAAGGCTACGGAAATGATCATCTACAACTGACTTAAAAAATAAATATGCACTCCAGCCCTGCCACATACACATCCATGTTTCAATGACATTGACACTTGCAAAGCATGCAGCCCATCATAGCTCCTTGTCTGATTTCTGTGTGGTTACAGTTGCTGGCCCAACGCCGATGCATCACAACACTGCCTAACTGCTACAGGGACAACATTGGAACATCAAACAGGTCTGTCACTCCCTCCGTGTCATCAAGGTTGAAGTAGTAGTCCCGCTCACTAGGCGGAGGACTGAGACGCAACAATGGGCCAAACACTGAAACACAAGAACATACCACTGTATGATTGCTTACTACAAACATGGAATACATTGGAAGAGTAACTCGACAGGTTATTTTTTTCTTACTAATTTCTTATGAAGAAAAGCACTCAATTTTAAATTAATCAAAAATTGCATTAAAACAGTAAGGAACTCCTTTCAATGAGGACCAAATGATTTATAAATGATTAATAATTTGAAGCTTGCAGTGCACCGAGTAATAATCTGAAACATATATATATATACAGCACATACTATCTGATGACATGAGGTCGTCAATAAACTCTCCTCCCATAGAAGGATCTGAAAATAACAAGAGCTATATTATTCAAAAGATTATTCCAGGTAATATATATATATATATATATATATATATATATATATATATATACATATAAGATTACATGATTGCTCTATGCCTACAATTAATTCATAGAATTATCATGTAACTACCATTTTAGTAAAAAATGTACCTCGTATAGCATCAATGAAGAGTTCATCTGCAGGAAGCATATCTGTGTCTATAATTGTACTTGTGCTTGGTCCTGGAATCCATAAACACTCACATCAAACATTCAACAAATTACCACCATCCTGACTTCCAAGACATCATGTCTTGGAAAATACATAAATATGTAACGAAAATAAAGGCTCCTTAGTTGTTCTGGAAGGGCATACATTTCAATTCTCAGCAGCGTATACAATTGACACACAAATTACATGCACCCATGAGCAGATATTATGACTCAATGCAGAGCACATGGCATTACCTGAGTTAATAATCTGTTGTTGTTGTTGTTGTTGTTGTTGTTGTTGTTGCTGCTGCTGCTGCTGCTGTTGTTGAAGTGGTTTTCGTGGGGAACTTCTGGTAGTCATACGTGAGGGTGCCACCTCCACGCTCTCCTGTTGCTGAACCTTTTTGCCTCTTCCACGTGGAGATTTCCCGACTTTTCCAGCTAAACATAATTTACAAGTTCAAGCAATGAACATTACAGCTTGACAAAGTCAATAGATCAGTTTTCAATGAAAACTCCGGTATCAGTAACGATTTTAGGTTATCTATCATTAACAAGGAGAGGGCTCCGAAGGGGGTTAAGTCGATATATGGATTTTTACCAAATTTAATAACCTTCTATGTAATTTTTTGGCACGTTATTTTCACCTAACAAACAGGAATAGATTGAAAACAAACAGGAATGTAAAATATTGTTAAACAATTTAACATAGCTGGAAATTAAGGCGTCCCGATTAGCCAATCAAGGCACGTCAGACGCAACATGCATTAAAGACTTGGGGAGAACCCTTATTATACTGTCTTACACAGATGTTAGTTATTTACTAAGAACAAAAACACAAATAAAATTTCAATGTATACATTTTCAATGTTTGCCTATAGTTTGCAATAATTCCTTACTGGTTTAGTAAGGTGTTTAAAGGGATACATTACTATAGGTTCTTTGGATAATTTCAGATAAAATAGGTTAAAATTACGCTACATAAAAAGTTTTATGCTTCAATATTCATCAGAAATATTTTTTAAAATTCTTTTAACTGACGGCTATACCGTTGCTTACAGCGATGGTGGCGCCACGAAGCGCATCCAGTGGAAAAGTTATGCAAAGCAACGTTTCGGCTACAGGCTACAGACCGAGGGTGTTTCTTATTTTTTAATTTAAGAGCAGAAGGATTGCAATATCTTATAAACGACACTTAGTTTCAATTATAATATTGACGAATTTGTCCTAAAATAAATATAGTTTAATAGCATTTAGGTATAAATATTATCGCACTTTTGTAATTAGCCCTTGGTCTGTAACCTGCAAAATGAATTGGCAAATGCGCAACTTTTTCAGGGTGGCAGCACAATCATGGGTGTCATGTCAGCGCCCAAAAATCAAGATTTCGAAATTCAATGTTGTTTTATGATAAACGTCAATGTGTAATTATAGAAATTTGTAGGTATATGCTATTATTTATGAATCTATTATCATAATATACTTGCAAATTCTTGGTAAAAGTATCCCTTTAACTTTAATCCTAATATTAACTGACTATTAGAAATTTGGTGCATAGTGTAAACATCAATTACCGGGAGATTGCACATCTTGCTTGATTACCATGTCAGGTGGTGGAGGCACTTGTACCACGACAGGACTTGATGAATCAGTATCCTTATTGACGAGCAAAACATTGATGGGACCCGAATGGCTTTTAAGATGAATCTGGTATTTCTTTGGTCCACCTATTACAGCCTGTTAAAAACCACATCATCATTCACCACACAGCATATCCAAAAAGATGGGAGGTCTGCCAGCATGTAAATACATATTATAATAAATACTCTATACTGCGTGGCTGTGTGAGTGCATGCGCACGCTAAGCAATTGGGCTAACAAAATCTAACAGCACATTATTAACAAGCTGACATGAATGGTGCTTACATCTTCTGGCACAGGTACTTCTAACTGTGTTCCTGAAGGTGCCTGAATGGCAAGCATTGTATCGCCCTCAAAGCATCGACAAATGTCATCGTGTGTCACATATGCTAACGTAATACAGTGTTAGGGATAAATTATGAATACTACAAACAATGAAAAGACAAGTGTTATGTTGTTCAAGTGCCACACCTGGTGATGAACCAAGTAGTATTCAAAAGTTACATTAAGGTGCAGCAAAATTGAAACTTTGAGTTACATAACTTACACCCATAGTATGACTACTAGATTAAGAGAGTTACAGCAGTGCACTCATCGAGCTAGTGATACGAATAAAAGGATATTTGTGATTGTTCACATCATCTGTAATGTTTCGTATGCTTTGCTGAACCCATGACCGATGTTGATCAAGTTCCTTCTCAATTTTCTCGAGCTCTGTTATCTCTTTCTTCAGCAGCACCAGCCGATCTGTAACTTCTCTCGAGTTGCATGCTGGGCCACCTCCCCTAAAACACAAGTCCAATCTCTCGTTTAAACTGTGTCACAAATTCTTATTATGAAATAAATTATTATTAAAATAAAACAATTAATGTTAGTAATAAAAGTAATTATTAGTGAAATTCCTAGTATGAGAAAAAAGGCTACGTTCACATGTTATGACCACAAATTTCATATAATCAGGAGTAGATAATAGAGAAGGAGTGTGACTTCAATAAACAAGGGAAATTCGTCATTTACTAGCCTTAGAATACCTACGATTTACTACGGGTAACTCAACCAACTTGAGCTCAAATCGTACACAGTACATTCGCCTAGCATCGAGCAAAATCGTTTCCTCGTATACACCCGCAATCCGGAGATATAGACTAAAACGTACGACACGATTTTCCATTATGTTGCCAGCAAACTAAATGTGTAAACCGCCTAACTCGAAACAAAAGGCAGCTACTAACGACTCTTGCGCCCTCGGCGATGTGGTGTGGCTCGCTGAGCTAATCTTTGACCTATTTACAGCTGCCTTTTGTTTCGAGTTAGGCGGTTTACACATTCAGTTTGCTGGCAACATAATGGAAAATCGTGTCGTACGTTTTAGTCTGTATCTCCGGATTGCGGGTGTATACGAGGAAACAATTTCGCACGATGCTAGGTGAATGTACTGTGTACGATTTGAGCTCAAGTTTGTTGAGTTACGCGTAGTAAATCGTAAGAATTCTAAGGCTAGTAAATGACGAATTTCCCTTGTTTATTGAACTCCTTCCCTATTATCTACTCCTGATATAATGTACCATACTGCAGTAATGCAATGTTACTTACTTCCACTGTATGCTGTTTTTAGATCGTTTCTCAATCAAACCAATGCCTTCCAACACATTTGTGATATCGTATATTCTACGCTTTTGTCGCACAGCTAGCGTGTCAGCAGCCTGAGGAAAACGTTCAGAAGGTGTTAGTGATGTCACGATCATCGATTATACTCGATCATCGGTTGAACAGTGGCTCGAACCAAGCGCTTAGTGATGTCACGATCATCGATTATACTCGATCATCGGTTGAACAGTGGCTCGAACCAAGCGCTTGGTTATCAAAATCCATAATAGATTTCATCAAAAAAAAGAAAGAAAGAGAATCAGTACATGTATTATACACACAGTAGTAAACAGTGCAAAACAAACAGTAAACAGGGCTAAACAAACACATACATGCACACACGTACATGCACACGACGTTACGCACACGCAGGCATTCAACACCCCGAGTAACCGATTGTAACCGATGATCGGTTACTTGGGTCCAACCGATGATCGATTACGAAATTACAACCGATTGACAACACTAGAAGGTGTGCATAAAATTGTCAGACAGATGTTGTCTGGATATAGGTGCGATTCACTAAGCTGCTACACCGACGTCCACTCTGCCCAACACTGTCCAACTCTGCAGCAGCTAGACACCAGGGGTAGCTGTGTTTGGGCACATATACTTTGTATTAGCATGTATTATGCCATATATATAAAAAGGAATTGCGATATATCGTTAAATTCCAAAATAGCCTAGTTAAATTAAGTATATATACCAGGCTTAATGATGTCATGTGAGTGTTTTTAAAATATTATATCTCAAATAAATCGAAAAGTAAAAACAAAAAAATGTAGACAAATTAGGTCTCAGCTATTATTGGACAAATTACTAATTACTCTGACAGTATAAAAACTACTTGCCGCTATTGCATACAAAATAGCAAATAACATAGCCACGTTCTTTAGTGTCATGTCAATTGCCTTGTGATTGGTGCTACTAGACAAAAAGGCATCTCATTGACATTGAGTGACATATACAGTTCTAGACTGGTCGCTATTCCCATAGGCAAGTTACCATCAACAAAGTCCATTAACAAGATCTCGCAAGAAAGAAGTGGCTCATCATGACATATTACCATGTCAACAAGAAGTCAAGAAATAAAATTTCAATCACTTAAAGCCTTTAAAGGGATCCTTTACTCTAGGTTCTAGGGTTATTTTCAGTTAATATCTAGGTTAAAATTACGCTACATAAAAAGTTTCATGGTTCAATCACCATCAGAAATATTTTTTTTTAATGTTTTAAATCTAACAACTACAGTTTGGTTACAACGACGGTAGCACCACTTCAAAGCACACGATCTGATAAGTTGCGCAAAACGACTTTTCAGCCAAGGACTACAGACCGAGGGTGTTTCTTATTTATTAATTTAAAAGCAAAAAGATTGTAATATCTTATAAACGACATATAGTTTCAGTTATATTATGGATAAATTTGTCCTAAAATGAACATTGTTCGGTTAAATAGCATTTAGGTATAAATATAATTGCACCTTTGTGATTAGCCCTCGGTCTGTAACGTGCAAAATATATTGGGAAATGCGCAACTTTTTCAGGGTGGCAGCACGGTCGCAGACTCGCAGGTGTCAATGGCGCCGTTCAAATTTAGTAGCGTTGATGTATAATTAATTATAACAATTAAATTAGGTATCTGGTAACAAGTACGTGTGGGTATAGACGATTTGTTATACAGTAAGTACAGTTGTATGCAGTAAAATCCTAGTCTACTAGTCTAGTATCCCTTTAACTATTTGATGAAAGCAAAGATGTATGTAGAACTTAGAAAGTAAGAAAGTATGAGTGAGTGTAATAAGACATGTTAGCCTTACTATAGACACTTGCTATGACACAAGCAATACCAGTCAAAATGAAAAAGAGACAGGTCTGGAAGCCTGTGCGAAATCCTCAAAAATCTAATATAGCTCACCTACAGACCACCGACTATCTCCACATTAGTGCCAAGTATTTATCCTGTTATCATGCAGCTCCCTCCACTCACACATGTTACCAGTTAGGTGGTAACCCAACATGCAATTAGATCTGCTTAAATATCTGGCAATACCACATTTATGGGTGAGATTCAGTGTGTTAGCCAGAGACCCGTCTACCCGTCTTTTGGACAGCCTATTCTTGGATGAGACGGATGAAATTTGATAGAGACGGCATGAGGGAGGCTCAATTTTATATATTATACACCTTGTATAACTAACAAGGTACTGCTTAAAAGAATATAAAATCATATCAGATTCCTGTCTCTTTGGCATTTCAGACTAAATTTCTTCCATTTTAAGGTCAGGCCCTCCCCCCTAAGGCGCTTCGCACCCACAGCATCCTCGCTACGCTCAGACGGTGAGACTCCCTGATTTTTTACCTGGCCAAGTTCACCCTGGTGAGATTCCATCACAACCTCATGCTTTGTTGTTAGTAATTACCATGGATCGATACATTGACCTTGGTAAAGGTTACAACAGCTGCTATGCCTTGCCCTAAGACCAACCTATATAACTAAAGCAGCAGATGAACCTTATATTCCTATCTGCAGCTTCACACAGCATTTACTGAGATTTAGATTCAGATGATAGGTATCTATTGACAGCAATTTTCTTAGCTGATACACAAACAGCAATCGTTTAGGCAAAGTACCTAGCATATACCATCACACATCAGACCCACACAGTATTCCTATTAATATTATGAAAATGAATTAAAAAAAGTAAATTACATTTTATTTTTAACTTTAATGTAACATGGTCATGCTTTTTGTGCTTACCTTTATGAATAACTGCAAAGAAGCAATTTGTAAAATCACATTTAAACTGCGATATCCATTTAACTCCATGTATTTGCTTTGTGTTAAAATCTGTCAATTTCCGATTTTAGTTTTAACTCAATAACTGATCTCAATGCGAATGGATTCATTTGAGCGATTACATGTGATACTCTCTGTTGTATCCGCACTAATATCTAGTAGCGGTCTATCAACCTATGCGAGTCCATTCAAAATAACCACTAACGCTACGACATTTAACTATTGTAACCACTAGCTAATAAGCTATGTACGCCACAGGGGCATGTCACGTACTCCGTGGCCCATAAATATTCTGTTTCTACCTAATTTGGCTGCTCTCTAATAACATGCAAGCTTTCAAATAAACCCGGAGTAGATTGGCAAACACCCAAGGGGGACTGGCTATATTCTATGTTGTATTATGTATATATTAATGGGCCATAATTATTAATAATAATATATAGTATTAGTATATATATACAACATAGAATATAGCCAGTCCACCTTGGGTGTTTGCCAATCTACTCCGGGTTTATTTGAAAGCTTGCATGTTATTAGAGAGCAGCCAAATCTGGTAGAAACAGAATATTTATGGGCCACGGAGTACGTGACATGCCCCTGTGATGTACGCATATAAAGGATGCCACCAGTTTTTTAAAGTGAACGCGTGGTCTCAGACGCTCACAAATAAAACCATTTCATAACAACAACACTAACTTTGTCTACTCTGCTCTTAACGTAAGATTTAACGTTAGCAAAATAAAACATAACACCAACCACTTTGAGGTCCAATACTCCATCCTTAGCCTCTTGCAACAACGAAACAAATTTTGTTGTCAGAAGACCCAAACTTTTCTCATGACGGCTCGGCGTGCCGAGATCTACAGTTGCTGCCATGTTTGTGTGTGCAAAATCCCCGGATGTGGTAACGGCTCTGTTGTTATGATAAATATATTTTTGTATATCAATTTATGTATTCCTGCTAAATTCTTAACGTGGTTAGATCCCATTATTATAGTATGATTCTTTATTGATGCGTATCTTATGTAGTAACAGGCAGTTTTTTACAAAATCGAAGTTACTGTAATGAACTAAAATAGCAAAGCTTTCATATTTGGCCTAAAGGTGGGGGTACAGTCGTTAGGTAATCTATTGCAAACCAGTTGTTACTTTTATATTCCAATTTTAAGTTCCTCGTTTGTCGAATACATAACGAGTTAAAATGGTTTCGTGTCGTATTTGCGGACCAAAACTATCCATCTGCTGTACATTAACTAGCCTTTGGGGAATAATTATGCTGGTAAGTAATACTATTATTATTGGTAAATGCTAAAATGGTACCGGTACTGCGGTAGGCCTATTGCTGTCAATGCTGAAGGGGTCGTTGTCGTATCAGGTAGGCACAGATATGTACCCGAGGTACATATATGTATACACAAAGTGTACCAGACTTGTACTACAGAAGTTTACCCTACCCCTAACTCTAGCCCTAACCCTAACCCTAAACATACCTCATAAAAATATAAACATAATAATTAATACTATTTACTAAACAACCTAAAACTACCTCGGGTACATATCTGTA